AGTTGGCGCTGCGACCGGGGGACGACGTCACAAGAGATTCCAAATTGAAATCAAAAAAAAAAAACAAATAATTATGATCAAGAATTGAAAAAAAATTTAAGATCTAATTTTAAGCTTGACCAAGAAGAATATTGTGGTGAAAATTTTCATTTAAATATTCAGGGCTGAACCCATCCGGAAATTTTCGTCGGTCTTCGATATGTGTTTTTGATATACACAAGGATATCCACAATTCCTTCATCACGCATTACCTTGTTTTCATTGACAAAATAGTTCTTATTCAATTTAGCTAGAAGCCTTTGAAATCTTTTTTTTTTCCTCTCATTTAATGGCTTTCAGCATAGATTGAATATCTTGAGCTTTGAAATATCAACAAAATCAAACAATACCTACTATTAATTATACAATCAGGCGATTTTATCCATTTTCTTAAAGGAATGGAGACAATCCAGATTAAAGTTAAAATTTAATTCCTGGCAAATATGGCCATTTACGTCAAACAATTATTTATACAATTTGCATAATTACTATTCTTCATTGTGTCTACAAAAGTGACCCAAAATGACTGCATCAGTAATTTTAATTGCTCGAATCTAGAAACAAATGAACGTGTATACAGAGACAGATTTCTGGTTGTTGTGTGCTTGCTAGTGATACGGACACGCATAATTTAATAAAAACCCTTTGATCATTGATTACCAGAACAAATAGGGAAAATGTCTTAAATAATTTATTCCTGTTGAACGGTTTTTTTTTTTTTACTATTTTATACGTTATCTTGAACTTTCATCGGTGAAATTTGAGAATTTTGACTCAGGAGCTCAGGCAATAGGGTTATTTTTTTTTTTTTTTTTTTGAAGGGGGGTCGCATTAGAGGGGAGGGATTTTTTTTTTTTGAGGGTCCTTGATATTTTAATTTATTTTTGATTTTTTCATTTTTTTATTTTTTTTTTTTTTTTATTCAAAAGGCGGGGTATTTATTTGGGGGCTTTTTTGCCGGTGTTTTTTTTTTTCTCAGAATACTTTTTGGTCGTATTATTTTTGAAGAAATTACAAAGGATGAAAGGAAGATTAAAACAGGACTAAGATAATGCTCCTCTTGACTAAATCGGTAAACCACGAAAAATTTTTGAAATTCCGTTTTAGGAAACAAGTAAATGGAAGCATATTTTTCATGAGAAGGGACATTCAGGCCGCTAAAAAACGTTATTACTGTAGAATTATAAATTTAGTTATGTTTACTTAAAAATTTGTGACTCTAAAAAGAAATATAAACTAGTAAAATGTTGATATTCATGTATTTATATATATATATAATATATATATCGTTTTTTTTTTTTTTTCAAAATTGATTTTAGAATTAATCAGGCGAGATTAATGTTCTGAGAATGTGTCTATTCTGAATGTCAGGAAATGGCTCTTACATTATAAATCCCTTTGGAATTTTGTCAAGAATCTCGAGGTAAACTGTTTTATTATCTCCTAAAGATATGACTATTTATTCAATACAAGATTAATGGTAGATTTTAAATGGGCAAGAGGAAGTTCCTATAAAAATATTTCCGGCTTGATACAGTTACGGAAAATCCCTTGCAATAGATTTTTCTCATTGATTCCGTGAAATTGTTCAACTTCTCTCAGAGGAAAAGTTATAAATGTGGTCTCTTTGTTTACTCTTTTGTCTAATATTTCCTTCAGGCTGATGGCAGTCAGAAAATGTATTCTCAGCATGGTTAAATAAAACTATATTTTTGTTGCCTCGAGTCGTTTTTCTTCATTTGTTGATTGTCATGGATCCTTACCTATAAAAGAAATGAACTCTTCTTAACATTATGTTTTACAAAACTCAAGAAAAGGATTGAATGGTGATTATTATTTCAGATTGACGGTCTTTTCTGCCTCTGAGCAGAATGGAACCCGGACGAGATTCCGCCGAAGGGTTCCATTCTTGTTCGGGGAGAAGAACGACCCGATCTCATTTATATTTTCCGGTCATTTTTTTGGTCAAAGGCTCAGGATCCACTAATAAAAACTCGGCCCTGTGCCACACATCATATGTCATTTAGGGGGGGCTGAATACCGAATCAAGCCGAAAAGCTCGGATTGATTTTAATGGTCTCTGTTCTTGATCTTTTATTGGACGAGGCTAAGATTAGGGCAAGTCTCGCGGGGAGGTTATGAAACCGATAAGTGTTTATCGGGTTCTATATCCATTTTTGGCCGAACCAGACTCTTAACCATTATTTTTACGCCGTCGGCCTTGTGAACACGCAACCCTCGTGGCATCCTAGGAACCGAATTTAGTTGGCAAGCCGATCTATAATTCAAGTCTACCAGACTAACAGTTGAATTAATAACTTTCAATCTTGTATTATTATTTCTTGTGCCATCCAGTATTCAACAGAAAGACGTTTCTGAGTACTTTTGTTCCTGGAATTCGTTTGACCCAGTTAACTACTGATTGAAGGTTCCTTTCAAAAATCAGCTAAGAAGAACAAGTGTAACGAATATATATTGTTGTTTTAAGGAATGTACACATTGAATCATTGGATGTATTTATTTTTCTGGGAGTTACAGGTATTTTACAGACAATGGAGATGTTACTATATATTTTTAATGTAAGCTGTTTCAATGAGTAGTGACCAAATTAAAACACATGGAATCACTTTAGAGAACAAATTTTTTGCAAACAATGAAAATATGTTTCGGCAATATGTTTCTGAAAACCCATTTAATACTTTTAAGAACGGGTCTTGGTAAAAAAAAAAACGTCAGTGGATATATTTTACTGAAGAATACTAAAACGTCTATGAAATATTCCTTCATTCAAAATTTTACTCTTACCGAGGATGCAGTTCTAATTTTCAACTAATCAAACCTATGCATTTAATGATGGAGACGGATCAACTATTTTCGCGCGTTGCATTCAGATAAATTTCATCATTTATATATCTAAAGAAGGTGCTTACTACTGTCTGATTGGCTAAATCAATTACGAATGAGTACTGCGTTAGATTATCACATTTTGAGCACCTCGACGGCGTGTAAAGCCACTAAGATGCAAGGAGTTGTTGAGTAAAGAATCAGTTGCTATAAAAAATAAGGAGTTTAATCTTAAATTAATCCAGAAAATTCTCGATTTTTATTGCTACATCTAACCTTTTTAATATAAATTCCCCATAACTACCATACTTCCCTTTGAAGAAACAGTATTTTGGACAGAAGAAATTGTTAAAAATGGGTAACCTAAAAATACAAGACTAAAAATACAAGACTAAAAACATAAGAGGCGTATCGTTTGTATTTTTAAAACAATTTGTCAAAATTTAAATATGGTTGACATCCAAGATATATATATATATATATATATATATTTATATATATATATATATATATATATGGATTTAGAACGAATGGAATCTTAGTTTTTAATTGAATATATTTTAAAACTTCCAAATCTTTTCCTTTTTTAGTGGTCGTTTTTAGGAGAAAAAAATATATATATTTTTATATCTTTATTCTTTTTATGTAAACAGTCTTTATCTATTCAAAAGGTCTAATCATCCGAGAAAAATAATAAAGAAAATAACCAGATAAAAATCAATCTGAATATACCCTTCGACCAACAGGAGACTTGATTAGGCTAGGGAGAGTTTGCCCAGTAAAAATAATTTCTATTATTTTAAAGCACATCTCTTTCGTTCAGTTTCATTTTATCATATTTTTCTTTTACATTTTTTTTTTTTTTATATTTAAGAGAAAAATCATTTTCGTTATTAAATGAATATTTTTTAATCCAACACAAATTATTTTTTGTTTTGTTTTTTTTTGAAGAAAAAACGCGTTGCGTCAGGGAAAGTGGACACGTGAAATTGGGAAGATTAACCACTGCAGTTGAGCAATGTGTAAATAATGGCTGTACGCCGTTGTAAATGTGGCGAGAAATGGATTCAAATATATGAGAGGTAAGAATTTTAACAAAACAGTTCGCTGTCTTCGGATTTATAAAAATAGGAGATAAAAGATTAAAATTTAATTTTAAACTGCGCAGAAAAAAACCAAACCAGAACACATGCATTTCGAAAGCTTACATTACTCTGACATAACTCTTTGTTTTTGGGTTACCAAAAACAACTTGGTAAAAATTAGAATTTAATTCAAAGCTGACTAAATATGGTGATACGGTAGGCATCAAAATAGAAGCTCAGATCAAATTGAAGTTGGTCATAATTTCTGGTCGATGTAAAAGGTTACGAGCACATCTTTGCTTCAGCCAGGATATTCAGTAGTGGGTGGAATCTTCACGATTTTTTTACTATCAAATATAACGAAAACAAAGTGTGGTCGTCAGCAAAAGTGACAGCTAATGAGGTGAGCTATGATTTGGAGGCGTCAGAATCGAGCAATGTAAAGCAAAGTAATAGATGACGGAAAAGATGACACCGAGATCCGAAGAGGTATTGGAATACAAACGGTGCTGAACTTTTATGCAATGTCAATCCCCTTACATGGCAGTGAATGCTGGAAATCTCTTCATAAATGAAGAGAGACCTGAGGCAACAAAAATATGGTTCTACAGAAGGATGCTGACAATACCATTGCGATTCATGTGTAACGAAGGAATTGTAAGGAAAATGCCAACAAGGACACTTACACTTGGAATTAGAAACATAATTAAAGTTTCTGAGACATGTAACAATTAAAGAGGGCTTATGAATTTGACATTCACAAGGCATTGAAGTCAAAACGAACAGATGTAAAGAGCGAAAATCTTCATAACGAGCTTGTCATTGGATGACAGAAATAGTAAAAGGACAAACATTGCTTAGAGTTACAACGGATAGGAAGTTGTGGAAAGACATGAAGCTTTTTTTTTTTTTTTTTTTTTTTTTTTTAAGAGACAACGTCAACTCTTGTAACCAGTTGCAGGTATAAAATAATGGCTTTAATATCTTCCTTGTGGTGAAATAATTAAAAAAAAAACACTCCTTCAAATGTAATTAAAGTTTTATATATAAATAGAAGAAAGAAAAAGAAGGAAAGAAGAAAGAAGAAGGAAGGAAGACAAAAGAAAGCATGCAGGGAAAAGAAAGAAAGAAAGAAAGAAAAAAGAAAGAAAAGAAGAAAGAAAGAAAGACGACAGACAAATGAAGAAAGGATGAAAGGAAGAAAAGAAAGAAAGAAAAAAAAAAAAACGGAAAGAAAGAAAGAAAAAGAAAAAATTTCTGTATCCTTTGTTTTAAGAAAAATGAAGGTTGAATCCTGAAAAGTTCAATTTTCAAAGAAAAGTAAGAAAATTAATAAAAACGAACAAATATTTAAAATTGTAACAAAGCATAACGAAATCATTTGATTATATCAAGAAAAGAAAGAATCAAGAAGGCAAATTTCCATATTTTCCTTGTTTTAAAAGAATCAAAGCATACAGAAACTTTATCCAAAAAAGGAAAAACGAAATTAACAATGTCCTTTTTGTTGAACCATTCGAGGATTTCTCCATTTTTAATGAAAAAGAAAATTCTTTCAAGGAAAAAAAAGTTAATTATATGTCTTAAAAGATTCCAAATTGAATGAAAAAAAAAATTTTTTTATTCCAAAATGAAAAAAACATTGCATTTAAAGATGTATTACTAATAATACTTTATAATGTTAGACATGAAATTGATTCTTTAGATATATCGATTTTGTTATGCAACATCGAAGAAATTTGTTCCAAATAAAAATATGGAAGTAATATTGATTTGATTCACCCTCAACCCAATTGTTTTGTGTTTTATAAACTAAATAAGACAAAAACAAAAACCAAAAATAAACAAATTTTTGAAGACGCCATTGCCAAAAAAGGATTTTAAATTTAATATTTTGTTTGCATTCAAGAATTTATTCAAATTGTTTTCAATTTTTTTTTAGAACGTTTTTATAAGCAATATTTCTTTTTCAAAAAGCTATTTTAATAAATTTATTTTTTTACAATCTTTAAAATCAATTTATTGTTTTCAAAATGTTTTTTGACATATAAAAAAATAAATATATATAACGAATTAATTATAAATATATATCTATAGTGTTTTGCATTTTTTAAAATAGAAATGTTAAATGAAATACAATACAAGCAGTCCCAAACTGGAGAAAAAATATATCAAAACAGAAGTTTTAATTTAAATAAACTACCGCCATCTCTTTGTGCCCATGGAATGAAGAACTAGAAAATGGTATAAACGGTAATTCGAATGCTGAATATAAAAAAAAAAACATTAAATCAACCTGGTTAAACAGCCTAAAGCAAAATTAATCAGGCCAAAATCACCTGAAAAAGTCCAGGATGTGGGGTTTTCGAACTAATTTGGACTTATGAACACTGAGGATAATTTTTTAAATATAATTTTGGAACATAAAAATCTTCTGTCGGTTGATATTCATTAATGGCACTCTTTTCCCTTTATTTGAGGAAATCCGGATAATATATCTGTTCTTTTTATTTCTTGAAAAAAATTAAAATGAAAGAACATATTTCAAATTACTGGATTTTTAAAAATTTCAGTTAAAATTTAAAAATAAAAAACGTGAATTTTTCATTCAACATAGTTAAATCGAAAAAAATTATTTCTTCAACAACATTTGATTCTTATCCAAAATTATATCAAAATTTCTTGATTTTAATTTCTCATTCAGTTTAAATTCAAAAAATAAAACCGGCAATAAAATTTTGACATGGACTTGATTATTTTGATGAATTTTTCGGAAAAAAAATTATAAATTATAACTCATCTTAAGCGTGTCTTACAAAGTTTTTTAAATTTCTAACACAATTGAATATCGTGACATAATTTGTATATATTAGATTTATATAAACAAAGAAATCACATTTTAAAATTGTGAAAGTCCGATAAAAGAAATTCACTTTTTTTTTTTGAACATTTCCACAAATAGGATTTTACTAAAAAATAAAAGATTAATTAAAAATCCCATTTATTTTTTCCTCTAATTTCAATCAACAACAAAAAATCAACAATTAAAAATTATTGGCTTTCTCACTTTTGGTTTATTTTCATCAGTTTTATATATGATATCATGTCCCTGAATTTTTGTACATTTATAAAGAAAATTTTCTGGAATTCTTGATATAAAAATTTAATGACCAATTTTCATAAATAAATATTTCATTTTTTTGATTTTAAATATTTAACTGGATTTTAAAACAAAATTTTTTATACTTGTTGAGAAACAAAATGCCCTTTATTTTTTCAAATTTAATATTCATTTTAGAATATAACGCATTTTGATTTAAAAATATCTATTTTGGAAAATTCATTAATTCCCATCTTTAAATTAAATTAAAATGATCAAATTAAATCTTTCTTTATCGTTTTTTACATTATCATCATCCAAAAAAACAATTTTTAAATTTTTTTTAAAAAAAAAAAAAATATATGAAAATATTTTTATGTTTTAATTTAAAATATAATTAATTTAATAAATTTGACAATTTTGCCCTTTTAGCAAAAATTATTAAATTTGGTGGTTTGGAGAATTTACGTCAAAATTTAATTCTTTATCAACCCATTTTTCTTCCATTTTATTGAAAGTCAAGGGTTTCCATACTTTTCATCAATTTCCATTTGTTACTTTGGTGATTTTTGTACAAGATTCCTTTCTTGGCTTTAAAAGATTAACCAATATAACTTTCTTAGGAAGTGTAACCAAATTTTTTAAGATGGCTAAGGTTGGCTAATTCATTTTATCCCATCTGCATTTTTGCTGAACATTATGAATAGTAACATTTAAGGAGAGGTGGCAATTTTTCAATAAAACATATACTATTTTAGAATTGCGTTGCCAATCATTTCATGGATAAATACGAATAATCTTCTATTCATTCAGATCAAAATACCCAAACAAATATTTAAAATTTACCCAATTTTTGAACTAAGATAATTATTTTTAAATTTTTATTTCTGAAAATAGATCGCGTTGTTTGATTAAAACAAAAAAATTGTTATATCAACATCTTTATCTTTCAGGTGTGAGGGGTCTGCCCAAGCGTGAAGAAAAAAATATCCAATCAAAAATAGGTTTTCAACCATTTTTTTAGAATTGTTAAAATAAAAGCACAATTTCATGTTACAAATTTATAATTTTTCTTTTTTAAGAAATAAACATCCCTGAGAAAAATTAGTCTTTTTGTCAATGGACTAATTGATATTATTACAAAGATCTTCCATTTCGTAGTTTTTTTAAATTTTGACAGGTCTTTAAGAAATTTTTTTTCTTTTGCATTATAGAAAATAATGGAGTGTCAAATTCTTTTCTCTCAAAATTTTGTTATTGATTTTCAGAATAATTTTCTTTTTCTTTCAGAAAAAATTTCTTACTTCTTCAAATCAAAAATCATTAATTTGACGTTCTGTTACGTGTTGGAAAAGAGAACATTTTAAAAAATTTCGCCAAGACCTTTTGGACAAAAAAATGTTCACAAGAATTTTAACATTTTTCCTCATCTTTTCCTTTAATTAAAAAAGCGCATGACTTTCTGTCAATTTAATTTTTTTAAGCACGGAACTTAAAAGAAAATTTTGAAAGTTATTTAACGGCACTTGTTACATTAAACTGACTGAAATTTTCTGTTTCTGAACTTTTTTCTAATATATAAATAATTTTTGAAATTGATTATTATTTGTTTGATTTCTAATTAAACATTCTGCACATTTTTCAAACTTCAATCCCTGTTTCAAGATTGTTGTTTTTTCAGAAAATTTGTTCTATGACATTAATATCCAAATGGAAAAAAATCCCATTTTATATGAATAAAGCCCTTCCATTGTGTTTAATTTTATTTTGGAATCAAGCAGATAAATTTCTCAAGGCATGGCTTCCAGGATTCCTTTTTTTTAATAAGTTACATAATAATATTGGAACAAGTCATTTTCCAACCAATGTAAATGTTAATCTGGTCAAATCACGCTAAAACACCGGTTCTCGTTCGATCACCGAAGTTAAGCATCGTAGACCAGGTCAGTACTTAGATGGGGACCGCTTGGGAACACCTGGTACTGTAAGCCCCCAAAGTCCAACCCTTACCTCACAGTCGGTGGGGGGGTGTAAACGGTAGTGTCAGAGCTATGCCGCCGGAACTTCGTTCCTGGTAGGGCCACCCAAGGCGGACAGGTCTGACACACACGCCGGCTAACAAGGGCTCTGGTGAAAATCCAAGGAGCGTCTGCATCGGTAACCGGCGGCTTCTGGTCGTTCCTGTCTCTGCGTCTGTGGGAAACCCGCGGCAAGCAAGAACGTTATCCGAGTAGGCCTGGGTACCCCTACTTCTGTAATTTATCCCAAGAATCTTCTTCTCATAACAGGAAGAAGCCGGCTCAATCCGCCCAGGGTGAATGCCGCATCAGTACAGTAAATAATGTAAATAGTGCAGTCGAATAATTTCATCCTGTATCAATAGTTTGTAAAATTTTAATTTAGATTTAAAAAGCCTCTTTTTATGAAAAATCCAGCGGACAATAAGGCCAACTGATGGGCTTTTTTATTTGATCATCCAATCAAAAGGAAATACATTAACAAACAAAACAACTGAAGAAACAAAAATAAAAAAAAAAAATTTTATTTCTCCAAAAAAGGTAATTTAGTTACCAAATAGATATACTAAATCATTTACGAAATTTTTTATGTATGGCTGTCCGTTCAAATGTAAATCAATGTATAGACCCATCTACAAAAATAATTTTACTCTTGGTTCCGAAGTTTAATGTAAATAAAGAAAAGTGTAGGGGATCCATTCTGTACAGTGTCCGATTAAATTGAGCCTCAAATTCTTGTCCTCCTCACTGGCTTCCAATTATTGCTGTTGAACCATTAAAGCAAACTTCTGTTAAATCAAAGCGTTCCCTGTCAAAGCATTTTTGGGGCATTTGATTTTCCCCAATCTCATCCCTTTCTTAAATTCCTCGTTTTGATAGTTTCAACCATAAAACAACAAGTTTCTGTTTAAACAAAAAAAAACCAAATCGATGATCCAGAGTTGTTTTGATGAATGGCTCTGGTGAAGTCAAATTATGGTCACAAACCTTTTTGTGGAGAGTTTTTTAATAAAGGTTGTTAAGGGCAGAAAAGTTAAAATTAATAGAGTTATTGATATTTTTTTTTTTTACTTTTACAAAGGAGCCAAACTCAATAATGAGAAAAATTGTTCTAAAAGAAAAACAAGAAAATGTGAAACTGTAAAAAAAAAACAAATGTCCAAAAGGTTGGGAAAA